GGTGCTGGACGCCAGGCTGCTACTCTGACGAACCAGTCCAGGTATTTGTGTTCAACTTTAAAAAAAGCAAAGCAGCCTTGTGTTTGCAGTTAGAAAAGGAAAGTTAATCTATATGAATTACGCTGTTGAGCAAAATCTGCTGTTCAACCACCTAATCTGCCAGCTTCACCCGCCTGCCACGCGTTGTACAAGGGGATCACCGAGCATGCAAATCCAGGGAGGCGATCACATCCAGGAGTAATCGAGGAGTAATCAAGGTATTCTGATGTGCCTTATGCCTGGCATGTTTGGAGAGCTAATTAACACCAACCCATCAAATACATTTCTATAAGCCAATCGACTTGCTAAGGAACGACAATTATTCTGACACTCAAAAGTGAGCACCAGCCAGTGCTGAGCTGCAGCTGTGGTACGCGTATGGATCAAACTGTCTTCGGAATCTCAACCGAAACACCAGAGAAAGTCACTAGAAAGTAAGGAAAGGGCTGTTTCATGAACTACTTGCTTCCAGAAGGATTGAGGCGTCCCACGAAAGGCACATGCTCCTCCTCGCGGGACACCCTGTTATATTTCCTATAGGAAGGGGCTCAGGAACCCATTTAAGAAGCTTAAAGAGCTTTACTAGGTTTCTATAAAGATTATTTATAAGAAATATTAAGGTTTGGATATAGTTGGAAGATGCTGCTGTTTTAGATCATCTAAGAGAGAGCTCTTGTAACAAAACCAAACAGAGTATTTTGCACAATGTTTGGTAATTCTCATTGCGAAAAGCTGAAGAAAATTAGTTGCTAATAACTGAGCAGTAATAAATAATGAGGACTAGATTCAATTACCTGCTTTTCCATGCCCTGGGACACACTTGTCCCTGAGTCCCATTGGTATAAATTTCCAACAATTTCACAGAAATTTCAGCAGAATTTCTCTGAATTTAGATGAGGGTAGAAGTGAAAGCAAAAATAATTCCATTCCTTTGGAAAAAGCATTTTGGCATCACCTTGCTTTAAACACACTTGTATTTCCTGCACAAATAACACCAATCATAACGCCATCATCTCAAGAACAGTCGTTAATGTACAAAAGCAGGCAAGACTTTCAAAAATGGTGAACAGTTGCTTGATTTTTTGAAACTGCCCTGAGGTGTCCAGAAGGACCTGACTTTCCAGCTGTGCTGAACACAACCATCTCCCCCCCCGAACACTGCTGGTCCCACGAAACCTGGGGACCCAGAAGCGACAGCTCCCTTGCAGCACGTTGCCTGTGGCTGCTACATACCTTGCCGTCCCGCGCCATGCACTTGGCAAACGGGAAAAAATATATTAACCTGAGCAGAATTCATTCAATTTGTGTTTATTCAAGGAAATAAAGAATCACTGGTCAAGACCAGAAACTATTTTTTAACCCACTGGAATTCCTTCAGGAACAGAAGTTTTTGCAATACCCAAGAACTGACCCTGGGATGCCTCGAGGCAGAGGAGATGGTGCTCAGGCACAGGTCACCACCTAGTAGGGTATAAATTACAGACCCCTGGGAGTCGCAGTGCTGAGCCCTGGACATTTGTTGCCTGAACAAGAGCAAATCAAAATCTCATGTTCTTGATCCAGAGAGAAAAATCTAACTAAAGCCAGTGAGCAACTCCTGAAGTTAGCCACGAGGTGTGCAAGGCTGAGCGGTAAAAACCTCTGGGAAATGGTGTTGGGGAGGAGGGAAAG